CCCAACTTCAACATTAAATCAAAATGACTACATGTTTATGTCAAAGGCCATAAATATGAGCAGTTATCCCTAACTCAAATTTTGGAGCTCAAAGGAGAAGAAGGACAAAACTCAAGATGCTCCGATCACCAACTTTTTCGGATCAAAACGAAGGTCTTGGAGAGCTCTACCACTTTAATGAAGGCACAAGAGTTGGGTCTCGCTAAACCAAGATTAAAATGTAGAGAGAGAGAGAGAAAGAGAGAGAGAGAGAGAGAGTTCTAGAGAGAGGAGCTCGCAAATTAGGGCTTAGGAAAGTTAGAGAGAGAGAGAGAGAGAGTCAAAAAGTGATTCAAAAATGGCTTCTCTCGGACTGATATACATCACAATCCGCTTGAGCGTGAAAAGCGACGCTCGAGCGTCGAATGCACACTTTCAGAAGTTCTGCAGACGAAGGTCCCTGCTCGAGCGTCAAAGTGGACGCTCGAGCGTCCGATGACCTGCAGGAAAAATATTGAGGGTTGAACAGTCACGCTCGAGCGTCAAACTGCCCGCTCGAGCATGAATAGCCCCGCTCGAGCGTGGAGGCCAAAATCTGGGCATCAACTCTTGGTTTCTAAACACAACCTGTTTCAAACGTGCCCAACACATCCCAAACTCGAATACAAAGAATTAAAGGACGGAGATGCGATACAGACAATAACAATCATCCACGGAACCGAGTTCGGAATACAATAATCAATGAAGGGAAAATCGGGATCGCTATAACTTAATAGAATTATACGTACTAAAAATATTTTACCAATTAATATTATTCTACTTTCTTCACTTTAAAAAAAAAATTAAATATTAAAAATATTTATTTATATGAATTTTATTATATATAATTATGTAAGCTATATTTTTATAACACGATAGAGCTAAAATTATTAAAATATACATACATAATTTATTTAAAATTAGTATGTGTGTTGATTTAAGTAACGTTTTTATGAAACAATACAACTAAAATTATTAAAATAAATAATTAGAATCATTATTTAAATTTTAAACTATTGCTTCTTTTTTCCTCCAATTTAAAGATTATTTTAAATATTTTATATATTCAAAAATATAAA